CACAAATAGATATGTGCATTTGTTTCATGATCTGCTTATTAATAGCGGAATGATGGCCATTTTAAGGCCAAAAATGCATCAAAATCGCGTATTTTCACAATTCCAGAACCGGATCTCAGTCATGCATGGATGGATTTTGTTCAGATTTAGCACAATGTGTTGTACATATGCAGGTGCATTTCGGTCATGATCTGCTTTGAATGTATATGTCACTCAAATATGAACGGAACGGGGACGTGTCATTGACAATGACTTGTTATAGTTAATTTAGGTTGGGTTCTGTCGCATACGACTTATTTACCACTTCCGTGTCACTGAGAATGTTTTAGAACCGTACTGTGTCTGGGTGGAATATTTGGGATTTTTTTTAGAAACTGGTTGAATAGGTAATAGAACACTGTAGGAGGCAATGGAAGGTAATGGAACATTCTAGAAATTTGTAAGTTCCAGACTCATTATGTATGCTGATGTAATGGTCTATTTATAGACAGTGGGGGTATATATGGGGGAGTTGTTCAGCACTGAGTTCAGATCGGAGATCTCGTTGAATTGTAATGGAGTTTAAGTATCTAGTCATTGGAGTAGTGGAGTTTTACCGTGTTATTGTACTTGATGTTTGCAGAGTATAATAATACCAGTACCAGTTGAAACCTCATCTGTTGGCTCCGTGTTCGTATTTTATCATCGCCGCCAGGGAAGTCTTTCTGTTACTGTTGCCATTTTGGTATTTGAACCATCACACCTGTACTATACCAATTACGGTAATATTACGTTGCGTGTGACAGGTTCCTATACTGACATTTTTAAAATACTTGATGGATCCCCCACTCAAGTTCTTGTGCTGACTACGGGTTGACTTTTGTAAGTCTAGTCTTTGTAGCATTTTCAGTAATGCCAAAACTGCTCCAAAGATTCTTGTTGCAATATTCATGTACACTATGTTGCTGAGATGTGGTCTGAAGATCTAGACTCCATCTTGCTACCAAGAGAGATTGTAATATCAAACATTATAAGGATGGCTCATTATCAGACTGGTGGGAAAAAAGAAGAGTCATCGCCGACACCATTCCAGAGTTGGACATCAAAAATCTGATATTTCCGATTCAACCAGACATCACAGACGATATTGTGGTGCAAAAGCAATGAGAAAATGGGGGTCATTTAGCTGTCACAATGACGAGAACCCCTGACCGATATTATCGTTGTTGAAAACCAACAATCGCAGTTTGATGAGTCACAGTCTACTTCTCAAGATTAGGCTTAAGATTAGATGGTTAGTTAAATGGTTCAACCATGTGTCTTATCTAGGCAGGTTTTTGGTTTTCAATTATCACGTCTTGCAAGATGCTGTTGCTCTTTTCCAGAGAAAGTTGGCAAAGATATATAACTGTCTTTTCACTTTTTGATTACTGTGATACTGTCTACTCAAACTGTACAAACTGTAATATTTCCCTGAAAAGTAATCTTCAATCCATCATCAACTTTGTCACCCGTATTCAATGTGAACTGAGCATGTATGACCATATCTCTGTTGCCAGATCTGAGCTCCATCTCCTGAAATCATAATGTTATTTTTATTTTATACTATATTGTGTTTGTTTATTATTTATCCAGTGTATAAAATCCCATTTATGGATGTGCTGTTTTTAAATGAATAAATTATCAATTACAGCAGCAAAGATATTTTAGTCAGTTTGTTTGATTGATACAGTGGCCAGGACTCAATGTGTGTTGGGGATGGCGGCTCTTGAGGCTGTGATACCAGAGTCAGTACAGACACGTACAGAGAGACCTCATCTCTTCAGACTGTTGGTTTGGTGGGTGGTAATCGATATATATCATTTGATATATTCCTAAGTCGTTAACAACACACCTTAATTCAATTTTGCCTAAGGAGTCACCACCTAGTTCTCTTGTTGACCTTTGTTTATATGGAATAGTGGAGTCTTGACTCATTATCATTTCAGGAATGGTTTGATGCCATTTATGTTTAATTTATATGCGAAAGATCCTATTTCAACAGATGTACATTGAAATACTTGCAGACAGCATGTCTTGCAGACGTGTTTGCAGCAAGAGGTGTTACATCTACAGCTTGGACCAACTATTAATGATAGACAAAGTGTCAACTGTTAGAGCACGGTCAACCACATTGTGCTGCAGCCGCTGACAAAGTTGCTCAGCCAAGTTATTTGATAATAGGATCTTGTTGAAGCTTAGCTAGCAGACTGTCTTGAGAAATCATGCATACCTGTTAAGATACCATGGCCAACTACCCAGGGTGATGCATCGTTCAGTGTGATGAGACTAAAGAAGAGGTGTCTCTTAGCGCAATGGGACAAACAGTGAGACATTGTATGTCTGGAGGCATACACAATACAAATATCTAATGTCCATTGCTTGGGAGATATTTACAGTACTGTATTACATATTGCGATAAATACATGAATGTGTTGCATATGCAAGACCGGGACCAAAATTCAATGTTGAAATTCAATTGTATATAAATATATATAGATATATATATATATATATATACGGTAATAGAGGAATTAATACACAACTACATGAATATTGAAACTCGACAGCACTGTTTTGTAAGGTACAAGTACCTCACTCATCAGGAGCTTTATGTTTATATATATGTATATATGTTATATATATGTATATATATATATATGTATATATATAATGTGGCTGATTCGTATATTAAATATCTCTTGTGACCTGTTGGAGCTCCCAGTAAAAATTTCTGATTATCTTTTGTCATTATTTGTGCTATTGCATGTAAACTGGTATATCCAGGAGCTTTATGTTTAAACATAATATATATATATATATATGTATATATATAATGTGGCTGATTCGTATATTAAATATCTCTTGTGACCTGTTGGAGCTCCCAGTAAAAATTTCTGATTATCTTTTGTCATTATTTGTGCTATTGCATGTAAACTGGTATATCCAGAATTTTGCAGAAGCAATATGCTATATGTAGCTTGTGGTCAAATGGAGGTAATTTTCTTGTCTTGTTTGACTTTGACTACTTGACTTCTTGTTGGCAGGATCACTTTTATTTTTTGCGCCTTCTCACCTTGCAATTTAGATGTTGTTTGACAGCTAGCAAAAAGTTTAGGCTACGCTCACCATTGCCAGCGCCGTTTGTTAGGACGTCTCAAACACTTAGTCAATTTGAGTAGTAGTATCTTAATACAACTAGGTGCCATTAATCTCACACCAACTTACTGTTATCTGTGTTTGGATTTCACATAATAGTGGATTCAAATTAAGATACCAAAATGTACCCACAATCACGAGTTCACTGTATAACTAGGAAGACTTGAGTATTCTTTTGTGGTGAATATGTTCCATGAAGCACATACCTTAACATTCCGAAAGCCATACAAATGTTACTCCATACATTACGTGTTGCTATGGGTGTCAATGTGTTAAATGTGGCAGTATAGTGTTTATTATTGCCCTTAAGTGATGCATGTCCATGTTTGTTTTTTACTCCAGTAAATTGTAATTGCAGAAACAAATTCTATTGTTTGTTTTAGTGGTACTTCTATTTCTATCTAGATTCTAGGTGAAGTTTGTATCCCAATTATTCAGGGTCACATGAAGCACACACCTTAATACCTTAATTTTACTTTATACATTATTGGAAGCATGCATCACTATGGGTGTTAATGTGTTAAATGTGGCAGTATTGTTATTATTTATTGCTCTTAAGTGATGCATGTCCATGATTATTTGTTTATTCTGGTACTTTTACTGGTACTTCTATTCTTTCTATCTAGGTTCTGGGTGAAGTTCGTATCCCAATTAATCAGGGTATTGCAGGTCATGTAGCAACATCAGGTATGCCATTGTGTGTGTTGTTAATTACATTTTGACATGTGTATAGTTGCTCACTCATTTTGTTTGTAGATTGCAGTAATTTAAATTATTGGTATTATTCTCAATTTGCAACATCTCATAGCTGCATTGTCTTTAAGGTAGAAGAAGCATACTCATAATATTTTACAAAGCTGGTCATAAATCACATGATAATATACATTGATTTATTATGTAGAGTCATTGAGATATAGATTTCAGCAGACTTTTGCTTGTTATATACATTTTCAAATAGCTGTTTTTAGGTTCTATTCAGTCACAGAGTTTGTGTGATGATTGTAGAGAAAGTGTACATGCAGATAAGAGACAAGTAGCAAAGGTCATATCAGAAGTGATAGAAATCTGTAAATTTGAATCATTTGATTAGGTTTGAAATATACTCATCATATGCAATTGTACTATTTCCACATTCAGGTAGAATCTTAAACATCAAAGACGCTTATTCACATCCACTGTTCTACAGAGGTGTAGATGAAACGACTGGCTTTAGAACTAGGAATATACTATGCTTTCCAATCAATGATGAATCAGGTAATCTCACCAGTAAATTTATCATCGAGTATTATGATGCATTGTTTACAAAATACTTAGGGCTCAATTATTCTCAGGTTTTATTAAAAAAAATTAATGATTGCTAAAACACATTGATTTAAAACCTAGTGATTGTTAAAATTTACAACATAATGTATTGTTTGTTTCACAAACTAGTGAATTAAAAATAAGATAAGATAAGATTGAATATCTTTCCTCCTACAGTTATTTTTGTACTCCAGTTTGAGTGAGAAAAGTGTGTCATACCTTTTGCTGCTGTAACTTGATCTTGTTTTGTGAAGAATGTTACATTGAGGGCGCTGTTTCAATATTTGACAACATCAGATAATCAACTAAGCGTGAAATATAGATGTACTATGCAAGAAATGCTGACACATTATTTGCATGGATTTCTGTATGTTGAGTTGTAAGAATTGCCTGTTTTTAGGTAGTAACAAAGGCAAACTATAAACCGATTACTGATATCAAATGTCAGTTTTCCTACAAACTGTGACAATATATTGTCCACAGTTATATCCAGTACTTCATTCTACAGGTTATAGTAATGTTTAGTTTCATTTTGCCTTCACAGGGAAAGTTATTGGAATAGCTGAACTATGCAATAAAATAAATGGTAAGTACACTGTCTGACAAATGTGTTGCATTGTATTGTCATTATCAATTTGATACAGGGAGTAGCTACAGGTGGAAGGTATTTGGATATAAATACTCTAACCGAGCTATAGTAAGAGTACTCCAAGGTGGCAACTCTATATATTGTCTCTGTAAATTTCCTATTGGATATAATTATGACCTAGTGATTATTGTTAACATATTTACAGCTCCGTATTTTGGAAAACATGATGAAGAAGTTGCACTTGCCTTCTCTGTCTACTGTGGGATTAGCATTGTACATGTAAGTAGACTTTAGCAAATATAGTCCCACATGCTACGCATAAATGATGCTTAATATTCTAACATTTTGGAGAATTACAGATGACCTTCATCAGAGGCTAAAATATGGTTATCAATATGGTCATTAAAACAATAATAAGATTAAAATGATATTTCAATATGAGCCTAAGTGGTTACTACTGTAAAGGGGGTAATTATTCACTGGGTTTTAATTTAGCTTATTTCGCTGACTGGAAACATGCGCTAAATTAAAACACAGTGAATATGTAAAATTTAGCATAGAACACATTATCTAAATGACAAAACCGTGAATTTAAAACCCACTGAATATGCCTGAAATGGTAAATCAGTGAAATTTAAACCCAGTGAAAATTAGTCATTTTACAGTATGTGTTCCATGCACAAAGCTTGTTCCATAGATGCTTAACTTATGCACCATGATCTAGACTTAATCTGATTTTGACTGATCAGTGCATGGTGTATCATTTTTAATTTTATTAAATTACATTATGACACAGTTTCAAACCTCATTCTTAGACCACTTCCTAATATTTTGTAATGTCACATTCTGGAAATAGAGGAATACTCGTGATGTGGATGGATTAATAAAATTGATGATTTATAACCTGAATTATATGTTCCCAGCAGCGTGAATTTCATCACATATTTAAATGTTAAAAACTTTACTGTACTTTATTTTACTTTTACTGGAAATGCATATTCACTGTCAAATTGACTTTAATTTGTATCTAAAAATTCACTGATTATTCTTTCAGAGTTTGATGTACAAGAAGGTTAAAGATGCACAGTATCGCAGTAAACTGTCAAATGAACTGATGATGTATCATATGCAGGTATTGCTATAGTTCCCAAATAACATCTCTTGAAAGTTGTTGCAACCAAAACAATAGCAGGATGAATTTAACTATACACTGACATTTTTTTCATCAAGTTGAATTCTGATTTGTTTGGTCATTCATTGTGTTTCAGATCAGCTGCGATGAACTGCAACAATTGATAGCAGCAGATATCCCGAAACCCGAAACATTCCTTGCTGATATAGCCCAGTATAGCAGTATACCACGTGCAGTTCCTGAATCGGAAACACCCTTGGTAATTACTTTCTTACCATTATGAACAACTTTCCAATTTTTG